AATGCCTTTACTCACCCAAAGCAGTGCCTGGCTGCTTTGATGTCATGCTACTTTGAAAGCTAAAAGCACTGACTAAGCAAGTTACTGCTAGCACAAAGGAGAGAGATTGCAGTCTGACCTACTGGCAGCAGACTTCACAGATTGTGTTGTCTGCTTCAAAAAGTTTGCCCAAGGCATGGCGTGCTGCTGGATGTGAAGGAAGGGGATGGCAATTTGATGGCAACATTGGCATGCCATGCCCTTCATTGTAGGGGTTTCCTCAAGCCAAAGACAGTTGTCTCCCTGAGGTAGAAAAGGTGGTTTGATTAAAGGTGACCAGATGGTGCAGGAAAGGGGCAATTTCCAAAACAGCACTCAGAGATGATTTGTGTTGTCACACCTTCAGTACAGAATTGATTCTTGCTGATGGATTGCCAAGTCCATCCCTTGGGGTAGTTTACTCAATGCATATTTTTACCAACATTCCCGTCAGAAAACTTGAACATATATTTCTCTACTTTAAATGCTTCTTCATTGCAAGGAACCCCATTTACCCTTTGTGCCAGGTTTTTGCTATTTTGTGAGGGAAGAGGGAAAGGCTCAGACATTGGAGGATGTTCTGACTAAATTTCAGTCAGGGCTTGACTCAGCTCTGAAAGAAACATAGCTGTTTACATTAGCAGCTGTCAGAATCAACCTTCAGAGGTTACCTTATCCAGTGTCACTCTCGAAGGGGTACTGACATATATGTAAGATGGGGTTCACTATGACAGTATTGGGCTGAGTTTCAGAATCTGTTGAGGATGGAGATATCGTGCCTTTCAGAGCCATGCCATGTCAAACTACTCCTCTGGTAAACAAAATTCTCTTAACGTCCAATCTGAATATTTATACTTTAAGCTCTAAAAAGATACAATTTTCATTGTATCATTTAGCCTATCTTTTCCTTGTGGGCTGAAATAGCTGTTGAGCCACTTTATATCTGAGAGGTTTTAGTCCCCTCTTTATATTCATAGTAAGTCCTGCATGCATCTGTACATCTGGCAGCAACAGTGTTTTGTCTGACTTATGTGTCACTTTTTTCAGTTCCTATGAAATCAGTGTGACAGGAAGGAGTGTGAATGTGTGGGTGACAGAGATGAATTTGGGTGTTGCAGTGAAGAAGGTTACTATTTTTAGAGCACAGTCCTTGCCCATATGAGCACAATGCCCAAAGTTTCGCAGGGCTCTTTTTTCCCACTGAAGCAGACAAGGCCATATGGGTTCAGCTATTTCACTTGGATAGCCTTTCAAGGAGTTGGGGAAGAAGCAGAGGGAAAGCACAGAAACTGAATCCAGTTTTACTTCCATTTCTAACAAAAATTGGGACCAGGAGCATCTGAGCCTCACTGGAGATGGCTGTTCCACATTGAAGAAGGGGCTCTGATGCCCAGTGTATTTGCTGCTACATGTAAGACTGTATCCAAAGTTGCTAAGATGCGTTCCCATTTTTGCAAGAAAAGACAGGATGATTTTCATCTGATGGCTCCACTGCATTCTCCCTTTGGGCAGAAGTGCTTAGCTTTCTCTAGCTTTCTCTGGTGCTTAAAAAGAGCAGGGTGCAGGGCTGAGCAGGAGCTTCATCTCTGTCCTTTGGGGTCACACAGTGGTACTTGCCACATCTTAAATTTTAATCTGCAGTCAGTTTTTGTACAAAAATGGTAAAATATATTAGTGAAAGTAATAAGGAAATAAAATGTTTATGAGTAACTCAGAGATGAAATGTGTAGTTGCAAACTCAGCTACTTTGCCTTCCATCCAAACTTATTTTTCTAGAATGCTTCATTCCATTTCATGATCTAGCAGCACAGATCCTGAAATCTTTTTTTAATGACTACTTTTGGCATTTTAAGCACAGTATTAAGTGAGATAGTTACATGAGCTTCATGTATTCATCTCTACGAAGCCACCTACAGGAGAGGAGTCAAAAGCAGGACTGATTTGTGTCTTTAGCTGAGTCTCTGATGTGGGAAGTGATGACAGACATCCTCAAAGGAGCAAAAAAGTAATACCATTTTCCAGGCAGCAAAAAACAACTCTGGAAAGTGTGAGGCTGCATCAGTCAGTTTGTCAGAGAAGGCACAAATTATCCTGTAAACTGGTCAAAGGGAGCTTTGGCTCATGTATGTATGCACTTTTTTTGCTTATGCTGGTAGGTGGCTATCTGTGTGTTTTCCCCAAATGTCACTCTGATTATTTAACTATAAGTTTTTAGCATGTTTTTAAATAAAAACTGATACTGAGTAAAAGTATCTTTAATATACACAAATATTGATTTGTATAAATGCATACCTCTCTGTATCTCTAATTCATGAAAGCACAGTTCAAGTCTGTGAAAGTGCTATTTCTCTGAGTGTTCCTTCAGACTGTAGCATACCTGCTGTCTTACTGTCCTTCGTGCTTGGAAGCTGCAATAGAACTTAAGCAGAGACAAAACAGGAGAACTGCCTGAAGAACCTCTACTTGAAAGCTGATGAAGTGTTAGCAGTGAATTCTGTTACCTTCTGGACGTACCAAGGCTGTTAGTTACAGGAAGCCCAGGTGGAAGGTGCTCAAAAAAAGTGCCCGTAGCATGTAAGATGTTAAAAACAATGACATAAATGTCTTCAAGATGACAGAAGATACCTTGGGTGTGTCATGCATTGAGTTCCTGGACTATGGTCACTTTAGGCCAACTCTCCTATCCTGTGTCCACCCCCCCATTTGTATGCATGTAATACAAACTCACACACAGGAGGAGTGCAAACAGGGGGCAGCCAAACTGATCCTCGAGGTCTTTCTTGGGCAACTAGTGGTCACACATAGAAAAGGTCAAGGGGAAAAGGGTGTTTTCCCATCAGATGGTTCTTGGGAGCAGCATGGAATAGCCCACACATAATTCTGATGTAACTTCTTTCCATAGAGTTGAGCAGCTTCATCCTGTAGCTGGCATGGGGAAACCTGGAGATGTCTGGCTGTGGGCTAGCCATCTGTTGTGCAGTAGATAGTAGACACTAAGAAACAACATGCCATTCCCACCGGGTGATGTTTGCACCAGTGTTTCTTCTATGCAATACCTACTTTCGCCTTTATATAAAAGATTTTTACTAGGATGATATAAAAATAAAGCATTTTTTCAAAGGTGCCTCTTTGAGCTCGTTTGTCTCCTAACCCCACCACCAAAACCAAAAAAGGACAAAAAATTCCAAACGGTGACTGACAGAGATCTACTCCAGCTCCACTGCACTTGAAACCCAGTGTTCTGGAAACTGTTGCATCTCTGAAAAGATTCCCCTCCTCCACCCTGCCCCAGTCCTCTCTCATCCTTCAAAACAATACTCTAATAGAACAGAAATGTGTGAAAAGTACCCAAAAATGGGAAAATGATTTTGAGAGCCTGTTAATAAAGGAAAGAGATTGCAAGTCTCCCAGAGAATATAGAATAGCTGAAGAGAGGACAGAGTAGTAGAGAGCTTGAAAGACATCCAGAGGACACTGAGAAGTCTCAGACAAAATGTGAAAACTGATTAACACTCAGACAGAGAAAAACTGCAGAATAGCCTTCCAAATGCCAGGAAAGTAGAAGATGGCCTGAAAGATCACCAAATGAAACTGCAGAGCCAAGCAGAAGGGAACAAAGCAACAGAGGGTCTGAAAGAGATTCAGAGTATATAAATTAGCCTCAGGGAAGGGAAGAAAGCCTGTAAGTGCTCAAGGAAACAAAACATAGCAATGTCAAATTGGCCAAGAAAGAAATAGATAAGGCAAAGAATCCCTCAGAGAATACAGAAGAGGCTCAGTGATAACAAGAAAGTCTCAGAACTATGACAGGAGTCCCAGAGTACTCAGTAGTACCAAGGGTGGCCTCAAGAGAAGACCAAGAAAAAAAAAGGAACTAGTAGAAAGCCTGAAAGAACTATGATAAACACACAAGAGACCCTGACAATAACAAGAAAGTATCAGAGATTCTGCAAGTGCACTGGGAGTGTATATCTGCATCTGCTAAGAGAGGAGAGAGGCTAAAAGAGCAACAGAAAAATAGCCTTGGAGAAGGGAAGAAACAAGCAGGAAGGCTGAAAAAGTCCCAGGAGAAAGAAGGGTAGTTGCTGAGATGCCATGAACCTTGAAGGGAAACTAAAACAGCTGTAGAAAACCCAGTCTAACAACAGAAAGGGAGGCTGAGGTGAGTGAGATACAAAACAAGCAGAAAGACTTAAAGTGCTCCAAAGTCATCTCAGTGAGAGAAAGGAAGAAACTGAAAAGCAGCCATAGCAGCTTTGAAGAGACTAGGGAAGAAGTGGAGAGGTTGAGAAAGTCCCAGAGAACAGAGAAGCCTTGCAGAACCTGAGAGACTAGAAAAGAGCCTGAAAGAAACTCAGAGAAGACAGAGGAGGCTCAGAGAAGTTAAGAAAATAGCAGAAAACCTATAAATGTGAAGGATTACAAAGATTAGCTTCAGAAAGGTGGAAAAAAGTAGGCCAGAAAGAGACTCAGAGATCAGAGTAGCCTTGGAGAGGTGAAAAAGTACAACAGAAAGACTGAAAGAATGCTGAGAGAGCAGAGAGTGGCCTCACAGAGATGAAGAAAGAAGCAGATGTTAAAAGAGTCCAAGGAGAGCACATGGTACCACTGGAGGGCCATGGAAGTATGAGAAAGACTAGAAGAATCCCAGTGCATGCAGAGTATGCTTAGGGCAAGCCCTCCTAGCTAGGCTGGAAAGCCTGTTTGAAAACATGCTCTTGCCCTTGTTCCTCAAAGCAGGGGGCCACTCTCATGAAAGCCAAAGCTCTACCTGCAACACTGGCTGTGCAGTCAGGTGTTAACCCATAGGTTGGGGGCCCTCCTGCCCAAGCCTTGCCTTTCCACTAGGAGGAACAAGGAGAACAGCACCTGGGCTCCAGTGCCCTGTAGCCACCCTTGGTTTACTAAGGTCTCCTTTGACAATATCCTTGGTGCACACATGGATGAGCAGGCCAGAGGAACAGGCCAAAGTCTGGACATACCTTAGTGCTCTCTGCAACAGTCTCAGGTCTATTTTCCCTCAATCAACAGGTCACGTGAGGTAGCAAACAAACTCAGTAGATGCCTCTGTATCCTGCAGAAGGAAGTTTCCAACCACTGTCACAGTGCTGGCTCAAGTGTGGTTCAGATTCATCTGGCTGTGATGCATTCCTTGGCAATTCACAGCACCTGTGTTGTCCTAGGGTAAACAGTGGGGTGGTGAGTGACTGCATTAGAGCAGATGCTGGGATGCACGTATGTGCACACATTTGAGTATGGGAATGTTCTATAGTTTTGTGGAAGCATGAAGAGATTCTGGAGGTTTTCTTTTCTCACTTTGTAGCAGGTTGACCCTCACCCACAGCTAAGCACCACACGATATCTCACTCACTCCTCTCACAAAACCACAGTAGGATGGGGAGAGCAAAAGCAAGAAAACTCATGGGTTGAGATATATATAGTTTAGTAAGTGAAGGAAAAAGTGATGCAAAAGCAGAGTGATGTCCAGACCCAGTCTCTGAGCAATGGCTACCTCCCCAAAATCTCTCTCTCCTCAATTTTTGTTACTGTAAATGATGTTATAGAGCATACAATATTATTTGGGTCAGCTGTCCTGCTTGTGTCCCCTCCAAATTTTTGCCTACCCCTGAGGAGGGCTGAGTGGGAAAAAGAGAAAGCCTTGATGTTGCACAAGCACTACTCAGCAATAGCCAAAACATACGTGTCTTATCAGGGCTGCTTTAGTCAGAAATCCAAAACACAGCATCATACAGCTTGCTACAAAGAAAATTAACACCCAGACAGACCCTGGTACACTCTTAAGCATCACTTGAGTGCTGGTGGATAGAGACATCATGAAGATTCAGAGAGATGGGGAATGCAATTTTGCCTTTACTTCTTACGGATGACTATCCTCTCCAGACTTCCCAGACAACCCCACAGTTTGCAGTGTGGCATTGTCTCTGATCATCCCAATCTTGCTCACTGCATTCCGCAGACACAGAATAAACTACTGAAACTACAGTTGCTTCTGCTGCCCAATGTAACTGGGCACAAAAGTTCTCTGCAAATGCTTTTGTCTCCTCAGAGATAGTACAGCTCAGCACAGGGAGCAAGGACGGAGAAGCCGTTCCCTTCATCAGTGTTATTCACTAGGAGATGAGGTGGACAGCAATGCCATCTCCAGTCATTGAACAAGGTTGCAAGTAGTCCCTGCATTCTTTCCTAGGTTATAATGAAAGGTGGGAGAGGAGTGCATCAGGCTATGGGTAAGGGTTTTTTTCTCTGTATGTAGAATTAATGTTTATATTGAAATCTTAGGCTGACAGAGTTCAGTGCAGATGTGATATGTACACAGAAGCACAGAAGGATGCGTAGTATCCCTGCCATATATGCAAAGTATGCTACACAAAGTAAGGGAAGTAGGGCGATGAGTGAAGTTTAGTCATTAGAACAACATTAGGCCTTGATGTCATTATGCAATGCTGCAGTTAGAGATATATGGTTGTGCTAGCCTAGAAAAGATAGGAGTCCAAAATGAGTGCAGGTATCAATTTGTTCTCTCTGCCCATGGATCCTCTATGTCCTTCTCTAGAGAAAAACAAACTAAAAGCTCTCTGCAGTTCTCCTGCTGCTACAATTGCATCTATTTGCATTTAAATTTAATTAATGTCAGTGAAGGACTCCTCCTTCAAAACAACAAACAATAAAAAAGACAAATTGAGATGCTGGAGCTCAGTCTACCCATAAAAGGAGACAGAAAGGCAACTGGCAATTTGGCACACTGTGGGTTGTGTTCTCCATGGGGGTAGAACATATGTGTTCTCCATATGGGGTAGAACAGGTACTACTTGGGATCATGGCTTCCAGGCACTATCACTGAAAAAAAAAAGCATCAAAGAACTAAGATGTTCCTAGACCTTTTCCATTTCCCGAAGAGTGCAAAATAGGCATAGCCGGGGAAAGCACAGCAGGAACAGGGTTAGAACAGTATCTTCTAGAACACAGAAGGATGCAGGAGAGTCAGGTTAAGAAAGATTGCTTGACACATCTAACAGCTCTTTGAACAACAAATCAAGGCAATGTGGACTTTCAAGGAAAGAATGCTTTGCTGAATGATTTGCTTCTACAGCTTCCTCCACATCTCAAGACCAATGCCATATTTGAGGTGGGCAGCCATTGCCTTTAGATGTGATGCTCTGTAATAAGTAGAGTATTTCTTCATACTCTTGTTGCCCTGTGGGCAACTGTACTTGTGAGTGTACAAGTTTGTAGATACCACATGCATCCCACAATTTCCTTTATACTGCAATACACATTCCCATGACAAATTCTTACAGTTTTTAAAAAGTGGCAAACCACTGTCAATATTTTATTTCAATGGCACAGTCATTGTATTGTTATGGGCTTTTTTGGGGGCATGAAATGTTTATATTTCAATCTTTCTTTGGTTGTTCTGTTTGGTTTCTGCTTACTCTCAGTTAATGGTGGCAGAATTATATTTCATTATCGTTTACGTTATCATTCTGCTGTATGCATGCAACATTACATTGATTATTAAAAATTAATCTCCTATGAAATGCAAATATCAAAGAATCACTGACTTTCCCCCCTCAGAAAATGTTTAATGGCAGTTTACCTTCCTTGTCTTGTCCTTGATATACTCAGGGGCAGAGAGCAGCCCTTTAGAAGGACATAGACAAGCTGGAAGAATGGGCTCAGAGGAACCTTATGAAATTGAACATGGACAAAAGCAAAGTTCTGCATCTGGGAAGAAATAACTTCTGGCAACAATGCAGGTTAAGAAATTACCTGATGAGCAGCTATTCTGAAAAGGTGTCATGATCCTAGTGGATGGGAAGCTGGATGTGATCCCACAGTGTGCCCTGGAGGCAGCGTAGGACAACTGCACCCTTGACTATAAAATAGCAGGACCCTACCCAGGATCTCAAAGGAATACTAGGGTTTGTTAACCCTGTCTAAAACACTGTACCCAGTTTGGTGCCCATCATTACAAGAAAGGCACTGATCATCTGAAGCAATTTCAGCAGATGACCACCATGACAGTCAGGAGGCTGAAGCACTTGCCCTGTGTCAGAGACTGAAATGGTTAACGATTTATGCATTCTAAGAGACTTTTTGCAGGCTTTTGACCTGCATGATACCTCTGATGAGCAGTCAGGCCCCTCCCTCCCTCCAGTGCTGAAGGTGTGAAGGCCTGAAAAGGCAAGAGCTGAGCTTGAAGGCTTTTGACTGTTGATACCTCTGATGAGCAATCAGGCCCCTCCCTCCCTCTGCTAATCTTGAAAGGCGGGAACCAGGCGAGACACAAAAGACTCAGCACAGACCTAGAAGATGCCTCAGGTGGACTAAGCCCTAAAAAGGCAAGAAGATGCCTCAGGTGGACTAAGCCCTAAAAAGGCAAGAAGTTGCCTCAGAGGGGCTAAGCCCTAAAAGGCAAGAAGATACCTCAGGTGGCCAATCGGGCCCATCTCTCCCTCCAGTGCTAAGCCCTAAGAGGCAAGCAACTCTTCATGCCAGGGAGGTGCAAAAGCATGCTGAGGGTATATAAACTGACTGGTGACTTTGAGAATTTGGGGGTTTTCCTTCTCCCCCACCGCCTGCGAATCAAGACCATCGCTCTCAAGCATCACTGGAAACCATCGCTCTCAAGCATTGCTGAATCCAGTGGGTGGTGACTATGTCCATTTCTTTTATACTCTCAGCTTCTCTCTTCCCTTACTCTCATCCTGGTTTTTCTCTCCCCTAAACAGTTTCTCCCCCCCCCCCGGAAAGTTATCCTAGTGCTGCATTGTTCTATGACAACACCCAAACTGTTAGCATGTTTGTTGATACAAGGTTGTTAAAATAAACTTTGTTTTCAGACACTGATTATTTAGTGTCGTTTCACTTTAATCCACCCCAAGGGAATTATTGATAAAAACTTGAGTTACCCCCCTTCCCCTTTTCCTGGGGCGGGTCGTAACACCCTGTAAGGACAAACTGGTGGACCTGGACTTGTTCAACATGGAGAAGGCTTGGGTGGGAGCAGCTAACTTCAATCTTCCAATACGTACAGAGGTTAACAAGAAAACCAGTTCAGGCTCTTCACAGTAGTGCATGGCGGCAGGAGGAGGCAGAAGGCTTAAGCTGTAATGATTGGATAGAGGCAAATTTCTTCACCACAATGGGAGTCAAGTATCAAGCACTGGAAGAGGTTGGCCAGAGAGGTTGAGCAGTTTATATCCTTGTTGGTTTCAAGACCTGACTGGATATAATCCTGAACAAAATGACTCATGATTGACCCTGATTTAATTAGGAGGTTGTGCAAGATCATATAATCATAGAATGGCTTGGGATGGAAGGGATCTTAAAGATCATCTAGTTCCAACTCCCCTGACATGAGCAGGGACATCTTTCAGCAGACCAGCCTGCTCAGAGCCCCATCCAACCTGTCCTCGAACACTTCCATGGATGGGGCACCTGCAGCTCCTCTGGGCAACCTATTCTAGTGCCTCACTACTCTCACAGACAGAAGTTCTTCCTCATATAATCTAAACCCTCTCTCTTTCAGTTTAAAACCATTCCCCCTTGTCCTATCACTCCATGTCCATGTAAAAAAGTTGCTCTCTCTCTTTGTTATAAGCCCCCTTTAAGTACTGAAAGGCCACAATGAGATCTCCCTGGAACTGCCTCTTCTCCAGGCTGAACAGCCCCAACTCTCTCAGCCTGTCTACATAGGAGAGGTGCTCCAGCCCTTTGAACATCTTTGTGGCCCTCCCCAAAGATGACCGAAGTGCATTCCAACCTGAATCCTATTTTAATCCCCTGTCTGATCCAATTAAAGAGGCACTATGTTAGGGTTCTGACTGTAATTTACCTCTACTTCGGCTGTTTTTTAGCAGCTTGGAGACACTATGTCTGTTATTTTCTTACCAAGTGAAGGCATCAGAAGGAAGACTGAGGGAACTCATCTCACAGGGTTATATCGAAAGGAAAAAGTCAATGTACACAAGTTGCAACACAAGAAATTCTGGCTGGACAGAAGGGAAAAACTCTTTACCCCTGAAAACAGTTCAGCAAACATGCCTGGAGGAAAAAAAAAAAGAAAAAAGAAAAGGCTGGATGAGAAACTGAGCAATCTAATCTAGATTTGAAGTTAGGCCTGCTTTGGTAAGGAGACTGGATTAAAGACCTTCATGAGTCCTTTCAAACCTGGTTCCTTCTATCATCCTACAATTTATGTACTAGGCAGCATTAGGGAGTTCTCTCTTTCATTTCCATTTGACAATTCCCTGAAAGAACGAATTTGTAACTCAAGTCATGTGTCCAAACCTCTCCAGTTTCTGCCTTTTTGCTGCTTGAAGTAGTGGCTGATGAGAATCAATTAACCCAATTATGTCTTCTTCAGAGAAGCTGTTAGACTGCACACAGTACATAAGATATCCACTGAAATCTTTGGATTTTAAGGGTTTTTAAGTTGTTGTTGCTATAAAGAGTCTGGCATTAGCATGTAGCTTCCTGAGAATACAGTCACTCTAACAAACTATGTTTTCACTGTAATGAAGATATTTTTATCTCAAGAAAGGCTTACGCTCCATTATTATTAGTCTAAACATACAAAGAAAGGGAAGAAACACACAACATAAATCTCAATTCTCTCCCATGCTTCAAGGCATAGCAGCAGAAACTTCGTTAAAACTTTCGTCTCCTAGAAAACCGTGTGTTGTGCTAATGTAACTTCAGATATACTTATGCAAATTCTACAAAAAACCTGACCATTATTTTAAAAATCCACAACTGGCAGTAATAAAAATAGAAATAGGTGATTCAAAGATGCCCATGTTAAACATAAAGCATTGCCAGCATCTTTTCAAGCAAAAAAAGATGTTCAACAGACATTCAATAGCTAAGGTGGTAAAAGAATCCCCCCTACCTCTATCCTATGTATATATTCATAAAGAAAGGCAGGACAGGAAGGATACGTCCCCACAATTTTTATGTGCTTTCCAACAATGTCAACAATGTCAATACAAATATCATGGCTGAGAAAAGATGTCTCTACTTCCAGAAAGCTCCTTTATTCCAGAAGCCTCATGTTCATGCCAGTAAAATACCTCCAGTGATTCACCACAGGCTGCTTGACTTTTTAACTCAGAAAAATAACCTTTTCTAACTCTGCATTCAGAGGAAAGGTCAGCACAGCCAGAATCTGGATACGTATCCTGCCTGACACTCCCTCAGAATTTGCAAAATTCATTTTCAATCCACCTGTGCTGTTTTTGGCATGCTGCTCAGCGAAAATCCTTCACTGCAGGATGTGCTTCACTGACTGCACACATGTATGATGACTACGTGGTTTTTTTGAAGTTACCAGGCCCCTGGCTGACTGCAGACTGATGTAGCTGCTGTTACTGCCTGCTTTTCTGCTCAGCAGCTCCCATCCTAGACTATCTGCACCAAAAGGCTGGGATCAACTACATTCATGACTGTGTCGTCTCTTACTAACTGGTCCTAGAATCATAGAATCATAGAATCATAGAATCAGCTGGGTTGGAAGGGACCTCCGAGATCATCAAGTGCAACCCTTGATCCAACACTGCTGCGGTTGCTAGACCATGGCACTAAGTGCCACATCCAGTTTCTTCTTAAAAACCTCCAGGGACGGAGAATCCACTACTTCCCTGGGCAGCCCATTCCAATGTCTGATTACACTCTCTGTAAAGAAATTCTTTCTAATATCTAACCTAAACCTCCCCTGGCACAACTTGAGACCATGAGCTGCTGCTGCTGAGGCTTCTAGACCTCAATCGTAACATGAAGCTGCCCATGGGCCCTGAGTATCCACAACAGGCTGCAGCTCTAATTGCTGCTCTCTTTGCACTGCACTGGCTGACCATGCTCTGTGCACGGTGCGATGGTCACGTCTGCTGCCATGCCTGGCGTCAACGTGGCATCAGTTCTTTAAAAAGCTGCGTGTGCAGAAATGAATGCGTGTATGGGCCCAAGTGTACCTGTGATTCTCAGGAAAATGAGGAGTTGTATTTCACAGGAAAATGATGGGCTGTTGTATTACCAAATTACCAATAGTTACAACAAATATTTCTTGGTAAAATAGAGGCCCATTACTATCAAGGCCAAGAATCCAAAGAACTAAAAGACCAGGTGGTGGGATACAGAGCAGTGGAGGGCGTATCATGGCTCTGGTTGGTGCAAGGGACTGTTATTGGTACTGGATCTGTTACTGGTACTGGGCCTGGAGCTGGGCCTGATACTGGCGCAGGTACTGGTATAGGTATCTGAACTGGTACTGGTACTGGAATTGGGACTGGGATAGGAAATGGGCCTGGTAGTGTTACTGGAACTGTGATTGCAACTGGTACTGGAACTGGGACTGGGACTGGAACCTGGCCTGGCACAGGTACTGCTACTCCTATTGGTATTAGAACTGGGACTGCTACTGGAACTTGGCCCGGTACTGGGCCTGGAACTGGGACTTGAAGTGGGCCTGGTACTGGTATTGGTGCCAGTCAGTACTGCTACAGGTACTGGGACTGGTACAGGTACTGGCATTGGTACCAGAACTGGGTCTTGTATTGGGACTGGGACTGGTGCTGGAACTACACCTGGTACTGGTTTTAGTACTGCTCAGTATCAGTACAGCGCCTGGGACTGTACTTGGACTAGGACTGTGCCTGTGCCTCAGTCTCCCCCTCCCTCGCCTCACGACAGTGGCTCCACCCCTCGCGTTCAGCACCACCCACTCCGCTGTCATTTACATACCCGGCGCTGACGAGCCAATGGGGCGCGGCCCAGCGCGGCGGTCGCCCCGCCCCTTCCCCGGCCGCCGGTAACGGAAGCGCCCGGAGCGGAGCGGCCCCCGCGCGCGGCATGTGGGGAGCGCGCCCGGGGGGGGCGGCGCATGCGGTGAGTGCGGGCGGGCCGCGGAACGGAACGGAACGGAACGGAACGGAACGGCCGCTCCTCCCGTCCTTCTCCCTCGAGCCCGTGCCCCGCGCGCCCCGCAGGCCGCTGCCCCTCCCGCCCCGCCCCGTCGCCGAGCGCGCTGCCAGCTTGCGCAAGGGGGTGGGGGGCGTTGGCCACCGTGTGTGTAGGAGCGGCCTGCGGCCCCAATGAGGGGCTAGTGGTGGTGTGCTTGGCTCGGTTGCCCGGCCGTGCCCTTGAGCTGCAATGGACTCGGCTCTGGAGGGTTCGGTGGCAGGTGTGACTGCGACGGTGGCCTTCGGCAGCACAGAGCCGGTGCGTGGGGGTGCAGGTGGGAAGGGCATTGTCATTTCACCTGGTGTCCTGTATTGGTGTTGATGGTGTTCCTCCTCGCCTCCCCTGCCAAGCCCTGCACGCTACCTCAGACAAGTCTCCTAATCAGGTGTCGTGTTCTCCGAGGAAGAGCCGGAGAATCCCTTGGTACTGCTTGTGTTTCCAGCAGGGAACTATACCAAGTTGGTGTTTGTAGGCGCAATGTGCCAAGTGGAAGCAGACAGCACAAGAATGCAGACAGAGTAGCCCATTGGGATACTGTTATATTTTTTACCACGAGGGAGGTGAGGCACAGGTTGCCCAGAGAAGCCTGGATGCCCCATCCCTGGAAGTGTTCGAGGCCAGGTTGGATGGGGCAGGGTGTTGGACTACATGGTCTTATAAGTGCCCTTCCAGCCCAAACCATTCTGTGACTCTACACACTATGAAGCATGTTTATCATTCAAACATAAAGTACTTCTAGAAAAACGAGGCAATGCATTACCAGTAGTAGTAAGGCCATTCAGTCACAGCATACAACTAGCATTCATCGTGTTTGGAATGATGTTTTTCCTGCCAGAGTAATTTGTTTAATTTGAGCTGTTCTGGTAACTCCTAGATCAGTAGAAACAGTGCTAATAAGTCCTTCTCAAAAAGCTACTTCATGCTTAATAAATGGTGTGCCTTTGATATTAAATTAATCAGTAATTCCCACCAGCATGTTGCATTTGTGTCACCTTTGAGAACAGCTTGGTTTTATGTCTTTACATGTTCATGCCTTCGGGTCATTTCTCCATGCTTCTGAAGTATCCTGGAATCTATATGCTTACCCTAGACTTTGTGAAGAGGGTAATATGTGGATTAAATGTAATATTTTTGAAAGCCATAGGAATAACTATCTCCCTAGTAAATAGTTTATTCTGGAGGCTGTATTGCCCCTGGAGGACTGTGTGTTGACAGGCACTGGTAATCGTGTGCCTCTCTGCTTGTAAAGACATGTTCTCTCTTGTTCGAAAGGCATTACTGATTTGATTGGTCAGAGTCAAGGCCCTGAACCAGCAGTGGGATGGAGCTGAGGTCTGACCGTTTTAGTGGAAATATGAGAAGACTTAACATTACCAAAAAAGCCTGAATTGCTTTTGTCTTAGCTTTAAAAAAGTGCAGGCTGCATCTGCCTCTCTGCCTTCTCTCTGTAGGGTAGAACATAGCCAAATGCTTACTTGAGAGAAAGAATCAAGTTGAAGGTGAAAGATTATAGTCAAAAACTGTTGGCCAGTTGTGCTTTTAACACCAAGTGAATGTAGGTTCTGTGACTCTGTATTGCTGTGAGGAACAGAAGAAATGAAGAACTGTTGGCAGATGTCCTCTGAAATAGAGAATGGTTTTCTTACCTCTTTCAAAATATTTTTTCCATGCAGCTGATGTACCATTAGTGTAGTTCTGCTTGAACTTGAGGTAGCAATCCATGTGTGTAGCCTTAGGCAGGCTTCCATTTTTACTGAAGTAGGTTTGCCCTCAGTTTCTGCAAGTTAGAGGTGTGGAGGTCCACTTCTGATTCCCCTGTTTTCTGAACACTCTTTGGAGCTTTTGATGATTATAATGCAGTCTATAGCTGTTATCACAAAGAAGTATCTCAGATTGTTTTTCAAACAACCACTAACTTGGGAAAAGTAGGGGGGAGGGAAGGGTAATGTTAGAAGTGCCTTCTGCTCTCCTGCTTCTTTAACTCCTGCCCCCGTAGCACTGTCCAGGTGGTTCTTGCCTCTAATTTCCAGTATTTGTCTTCTTTAGGACCTTACTTTTTCTCTGGGTTGAAGTGATCAGGAAACAACTGAAGCATCTAAGATACAAACTGCATATTGTTTGACTTACTTCTGCCGGAGCTTATTGTTTCACTTCTTGGAAGCAGAAGTGAAATTGAGGAAATTTTTGGGAAGAGTGCCAAAGTGTTTTGGTTAAACAGTTAAGAGTGGATAAATTGCTGACCTTTTCCGGGAGTGGTGCAAGCTTCTTTTTCTGAAAGGTTTCCCCCTAACTTACTTAGAATTTTTGCTTGGGGAGGTTGTTGCAGAGAGTTGACTTGTTAGGAAATACATGCAAGTGGAGACAAGCACTTCCAGAGTTTTCAGAGTTTTATTGGCGAATGAAGAATGAGCTGAAATGTGGCAGGGACTAATGGGTTCTTCTAAAGGTATTCTAACAGAGCTCTGGTTGTTTTGAACTTGTCTAGCTGCTGTTTGAACTTCCAGTTTGCAGCATCCACACCATAGCATGAAAAGGAATTCCTCTGGTGTTCAGGAAGTATATCTTTCACTTTTTTTGAACTTGACATTTGCAACCTTCAATAGGTGTCTCCTCCATTTGTCAGAAAAAAAATGCGATTCTTTATTCCCTGTTTGGTTTTGTCATGATTTTTAGACCTCTGCTTTCTTTAGTCCTTTTTTTTCCATCCTGCAGCACCTCAACTGTGGTAGTCATTGCTTGTGTGGAAGCCACTCTAGCTTATGCTGTGGACCTTCTCTGTAAATACAAGTACAGAGTACCAGTAATTTTAGTGTCATTTTTAAGTGGGTGTATTAGAGGGGGAAACTTTCCATCATGCATTGTGGAAGGATAATGTAGTGTGCTCTTACACAGTTAAATAATTATATTCTTTGACTTAGTTTTGAAATTTTTTTCTTACAGCTTCTGATATCCAGTCTGATTTGTTCAGTGTTGGTGAGCAGCTAGTAGATGTTTTCATCAAGGTGTTTGATGTAACCCCAACACATAATTTCTGAGTAGCATGCAATGGAGAGGCTGTTGTATATATCTGAATAGCCCTGACCCTACAACCATCAGTGTGAAATTTAGCACCTCTTTGGTATGTTAAAACCTATGACTTGCCTTTACTGGCATACTTTACAGACAATTAAGAGAGTTTTGAAAATATTTAACTAACTTAAAGGATTTAATACTGTGTAAGTGGCAAATTGAGAATTTTCCTCTGAAAAAAGAAAAAACAAATATGCCTTCCATCTGCCAGGATTTTTTGTAAGTATTGCAAATGCAAAATATTTTTTGTGTATATGTGTGAATGTTTCAGGAAATGCTCCAAGGACCATCAGAAGATGTATTTCCAAAAATGGAAAGTCCAGTTGAAGAGATGGATACCTCTGATACCCAGTGGGGCTGGTTTTATTTGGCTGAGTGCGGTAAATGGCATATGTTTCAGGTAAATCCCTATGAAGTTATATTGGCTGTGGTGGATTTCCAACTACCTATTGCTGAATTTGTCTAAATGTGCTTTTTCACTTATTTTATTTATTTTGAAGACTGATTCAAACAGTCATTGCTCTATTAGCAGTGAAGATATTGAAAGGAGTTTCCGAACAAACCCACATGGTTCTCTGTCTTTTACGACTGCAAAGTTTAACTACATGCTAGACTTTTCAGGTATGTATCTTTTCATAGAGTAAATTTAAATAATGGAAGGTGCCAGATACACAGCACATTTGTTCATTCAGCAAGTTATTGTCCTCCTATCTGGTGCAAAAACATTTAATTGAAAATGCCACCTTTACAGGAAAGTTCATATGAGTTTGTAGAAGCTGTTGCCCTGTTACATTTTTTTAGTGTAATTTATTACTGTGCTAGCATGTCTTGTTTCATAGCTGTCCATCATGTTACTTGCTGCTTGCCTCAACTGCAGGTGGTGTGTAGCATACATTGATTAAAACATGAAGTTTGAACCGTTTTTCTTTAACATGCAACTTCCTGTAAGCTTGAAAAACCTCTTCCATTCAGAGTCTGTTTAAGAAACATTGCTATGAAGGAAGTTTTCTGCAAAATACTGGCATCAAAGTGATGTAATAATTCAGCAGGTAGTTGAAGCCAGTTCTGTTCTCAGACTAATAAGGAGATAGGCAAAAAGATTTTCTAGTAAATTGTAAAGATCTCACTTGTGTCCTTCTTGTTAATTACAGAATATTACAGGTTTCTAATGTATGCAACTAAATATAAATGTAATCTGTGCTTTGTTCGAAGATGTGTTCTAATAACTTCCTTTTTTTTTTTAGTTTTTCCATTTGTAGATTGTTTATTTTCTGATTAAATTACAAAACGGCTATATGTTTAGATACAGGAAATCAAGGAAATAAATATGTATTCTAATATACTCAAACTTCAAGTATTTCAAATACAGAAAGTGAGGACTGGGTAAAATAACAATGTACTGGCCGTAAAGTAGTATATAACAATACAGGGAGTTTTTATGTTTACTTGTGTTGAAATGTCTGTTTAATAAAACTGTTTTGCATCCAGAATAAAAACACTAAATACAAATATTAAAGAACAATTTTTGTCACTGTCTGTAGGTCATAATATCTTAGTAAGGATAGCAGTAATATTCTTTGTCATCCTGTTAAAGTCAGTGGAAGTTTTGCCAGTGATTTAGTGAAACTGAATTTTAGATGGGTATTTTAAAAATAAACATTGTGTGTGTAATATTTGTGCATTTTGCCAACTCACAAATGACAATGCATTCAGAAATATTTATTGAAAATGCTGATTTGTTAATTGCTGAAAAAGGAATCCCTGTCAAGCAACTTTGGGTGTAGTAATGTTATTTTAAAAAATGTCACGTAAATGTTTCAGATGCTATAGATGAATTCTAGAAATTTTCATTTTAACTTTTGTTTTATGCTCAGTGATGAAACAAATCAACCTGACTACCCTTAAGCAACGTCCAATAAAGCGAGCTCCCTTTTCTATCAATTCATTCAGGTAAGGAAATAAAAGGAAGACTCCTTATTTTTATTTTATTCCTGATTCTTCTAAGAAAAAAAGACAAAAATGTTTTGTTTTTATTGTTTATATTTATTTGCTTTTTGCATGAAACAATTTGAGATGCGAACCAACGTGTGAGAGCTAGTCAAGTGAAGAAAGAAGACGTTTCATTAGAGTGACAAGAGAATTTTTAGTTTATTTTTTATCTTTTGTTTTCTGAGAAAGCAAGGAATTTGTAGGGAGAGAGGGAAGGCATGCTGTATACTGATATCCTTTGACAGGGTTATTAAAGCTGAGCTTGACTTTAGCCATTGGACTCACTCTCTCCTGTTGAATCAGAATTGGGACAGTTTGTTCCATTCATAAATTATTTAGAACTATTACTGTAACAGCAAAAAAGATTGAGTTATATTTTCTTGCCTGTGTTTTAGTCATTTGCTCTAAAATGATTTGAAGTTAAAGAAATAGTGTTGTAGCAACCAGATTTTTTTAGTCTAATTGCTTTAGTTTTTTACCTTTTGATGGGTCATTAGATGTAAAGCCCTGCTGATGTAAATCTGATGCTCTCTAAACAATAAACTGAACTATGCAGTGATACTGCCACAGGTAAAATTGACTACATGGAATATGTGGGGTTTTTTCCCCAGATAGTTTCTGAGAAATAATTTTAGTTCTGAATTGTAGGCTGGTTATACATTCAGAATGAAATTTGTCATTTTTCATAAGAAACGTAGTAGCCATCTGTTTACACTTACTTTCAAGAAGGCTTGGTTTTTTTGAAGTGTTAGCTGTTTTTTCACTAGATATTTGCTGAACAGTGCATGCAATGATGTGGCAATTTACCTTTTTTTGTTTCTTGAATAATTGCATTCAGTACTCTGATTTCCATGTGATGGTATTGTTTACTTTCAGGTGATTCCTTCTTTTAGTCCCAGTTTAAAGGCTTAAAAGCTGCTACATATGCAGTGCATATGCTTAAAACACTCTTTTTTAAGGTTTTGTTGCTTTTTTTTTTTTTTTTTTAAATAAACTGTAATTTTCAAGTGTGTATTTTTAACATGATGCTTTTAATTACTTGAAATGAGGGTTCAGTTTCCAGATAGGCTAGTTGTAATTCCTCATAGTTTGGAGTGTTAAGGCTGTGTGTTCACTGTCACATTTCTAAATCAATGTTGCTCTATTAATGTTGTGGAACTTTTTGACCACTTCTTCTGCTTTATCTTCCTATCTTCTGTTGGGCAGGTGGTGTATTAAAACTGTTCATTGCCGTGGTTTAGTTATAAAAAGCTAAGGCAGAATTTGAATACAAAATAAGACCTCTTGCCTTTGACTTTACCTGCTGGCAACAACCTTTGATTGAATTAAAACCCTGAGTAGTTCTGTGTAAACCTTGTGGGGTTTTGGTTTTTTTGCATACCGTATTGTTTGGAACAGGAGTTTGACAGGAAACAAATCCCTCATGTCTTTAGTGTGATGTATTTTTACCTTTTTTGTTTGAAGTTTCATCTGTGAAAATGAGGCTATCCCTATGCCTTCGCACTGGGAGAATGTAAATACTGAGGAGCCATACCAGGTAAGAGTTGGTATGCAAGTTGGTCAAAAACATGGGATAATGAAATAATGCACTGAATTGAAATCGTACTAACCTCTTTTTTTCCAGCTTATTCCATTGCAAAAGAAAACAAATGAATATAATGAAGTTTCTAGTCTCTTTGGAAAAACAATGGATAGCCACCGAATTAAAAGAATTAAGAGAATACAAAATCTAGACTTGTGGGAGTTTTTTTGCAGGTGAGATTATTTCTAAACCCAACAGTCTTAGGATTGTTAATGGAGCAAGTTTTGAAGTTATGTAGCAGAAATATGTTTAATTGTTTTTATTATTAATGAAAATTTGTGTTACTTTTTATCTTTTTAAAAATTTTCTTCTTTGTCATTTCTCTCTATTCAAACTTCCATTTTCAAGACTCTGTAGCTTTTACAGGTGCAGAAATGTAATACTTGTAAAAATGCAATAGTTATAGTGTAGCAAAGATAAGACTAATGCATTAAAGATGTTCAGAATGTCCACATGTAGATGCCCATAATACTTACAGTGAAGTAAGGAGGACAAAACCAAACTTTTTGTAAAATAATTCCTTGAGAAGATTGTATTATTTTAATTTTTACTGAACAAAGCAAATGAATATTTGTGTCTTGTTGAGTTTCTCAACCTTATGAAACCCAGGACAGAATTAAGTGTCTAATTAACACATATTTCTCCAATTTCCTTAAGTTTAATGTGCTACAAAACCTTGTTCTGAGTTCTCGGCTTTTCCCTCTTCATGTTGTGCCGGCCTGGAAGAAGTAGGAAGTGCTCAGTTCTGCATCCACTTATTTTGTAGTATCAGTCTTAAGCAGTTGTATTTGACAAAAGTTTTTGTGTAGCCTCTAAGAAGGAGTACATATCAGAAGTTTTAAAGATGTGTTACACTAATAAACCCAACTGAACTAAGTTAAATAGTGAGGAAATAACTAAGCAGATGTATATTAAAATAAGTTTTGTGATTTTTTTTGAAAGATGTAATTTATTTTTAATTGAGAACTATATCACTAATATGTATAAGGAAATTATTTTCCTTATAATGTTGATGGTTAAATGAGTTCTCATACTCTTAAGTTTGTTTATTCTTGGAGAAGTAAGGAGAAAGGTCAGCAGAACTGCTGCTTGGACTTCAGAGGTCAGACTTTGGCTTGTTTGGAAGACTGTTTGACAGAATCCCTTGGGAGACAGTCCTGAAGGGCAAAGGAGTCCAGGAAGGCTGGGCATTCTGCAAGAAGGATATCCTAAAGCCTCATGTCCCTGTGTGCTGAAAGACAAGCAATCGAGGCAGAAGACCAGCCTGGCTGAACAGAAAACTTTGGATGGAACTTAGGGGAAAAAGATAGTTTATGACTTTTTGGAAGGAAGAGCAGGCAACTCAGGAGGATTAAAGGATGTTGTGACGTTATGCCAGGAGAAAATCAGAAGGGACAAAGCCCAACTAGAACTTGGTCTGGCCACTGCTGTGAAAGACAATAAAAAGTATTTTTATAAATAAATCAACAACAAAAGGAGGGCTATGGAGAATCTCTATCCTTTACTGGATGTGAGGAGAAAAGTAGTGACAAAGGATGAGGAAAAGGCTGAGGTACTTTAAATACTGAGGCAAAGAAGACATTAACAGTAAGACCAGTTGTTCTCCAAGCGCCCAGACCCTGACCTGGAAGATGGAGACAGGGAGCAGAATGGAGCCCCCATAATTCAAGGGGAAATTCTCAGTGACCTGCTACACCACTTAGACACACACAACTCTAGGGGGCCAGATGGGATCCACCTGAGGCTACTAAGAGAGCTGGTGGAAGTGCTTACCAAGCCATTTTTTTACCAGCAGTCCTGGCTCCCTTGCGGAGGTCCTAGTAGACTGGTGGTGAGCAAATGTGACACCCATCCACAAGAAGCATCGGAAGGAGGGTCTGGGGAACTACAGGCCTGTCAGCCTGACTTTGATGCTTTGGAAGGTCATGGAACAGCTTGTCTTGATTGCCATCACACAGAATGTATGGGACAACCAGGGGATCAGGCCCAGCCAGCAAGGGTTTAGGAAAGGCAGTTCCCAGTTGACCAACTTGTTCTCCTTCTGTGACAAGGTGCATGAGGGAAAGGCTGCAGATGCTGTTTACCTGGACTTCAGTAAAGCCTTTGACACTATTTCCCACAGCATTCTGGAGGAGCTGGCAGCCCATGGCTTGGACAAGTGCACTGTTCACTGGGTAAAAACATGGCTAGATGGGTGAGCCCAGAGAGTGGTGGTGAATGAAGTTATATCCAGTTGGTGACCAGTCACTAGTGGGGTTCCCCAGGGATCAGGGTTGGTGCCAGTCCTGTTTCGTGTCTTTATTGATGATCTGGACGAGAGGATCGAGGGCACCCTCAGTCAGTTTGCAGACAGCACCAAGCCGGGTGGGAGTGTTGATCTGCTGGAGGTTAGAAAGGCTCTGCAGAGGGATCTGGACAGGCTGGATCAATGGGTGAGGCCAACTGTATGAGGTTCAACAAGGCCAAGTTCCAGGTCCTGCACTTGGGTCACAATATGCAGCACTACAGGCTTGGGGAAGAGTGGCTGGAAAGCTGCCCAGCAGAAGAGGACCTGGAGGTGCTGTTTGACAGCTGGCTGAACATGACCCATCCCTGTGCCTAGGTGACCGAGAAGGCCAATGGCATCCTGACCTGTGTTAGAAATAGTGGGGCCAGGAGGACCAGGGAAATGGTTGTCCCTCTGGGCACTGGTGAGGCTGCACCTCCTGTGTTCAGTTTTGAACCACTTACTACAAGAAAGACACTGAGCATGTCCAGAGAAGGGCAACGAAACTGGTGAAGAGTCTGGAGCACAAGAGTTAAAAGAAGCAGCTGAGGGAAGTGGTACTGTTTAGCCTGGAGAAAAGGAGGCTCAGGAGGACACCTTATTCAGCTACCTGAAAGGAGGTTGTCGTAAGGTGAAGGTCAGTCTCTTCTTCCCATATAAGAAGTGACAGGACAAGAGGAAATGGCCTCAAGTTGTGCCAGGGCAGGTTTAGATTGGATATCAGGAAAAGCTTCTTCCCTGAAAGGGTTGTCAGGCATTGGAATGGGCAGCCCAGCACAGTGGTGAAGTCACCATCCTTGGTTTAGGGGTGGACTTGTCAGTGTCAGGTTAATGGCTGGACTCAAAGGGTTTTTCCAACCTAAATGACTGTGTAATTCTAATTGCAAATTGATTTGGTTATATTTACCTTGTGTAAATATTAAGGCTTATTTGCTTGGCCTTGTGTTTCACCATCTACCTTCCTAGAATTATGTTTCTCTAGAGGTATATTTATACATATCGTAATTTCTGACAATAGGAGTGGCAAGCAGGCTTCAAAGTAAATGTTCTTTTAGTCTCCAGTGTAGATGTTAGAGGAAGGCTAAGGAAGACCTTTTTTTTCTTAGTTTAGGAACTGATATAATTTGGAGACTGTACTAGTTTTCATGACTGGTCAGTGAATAGAATTCGTGGTTTAAGAACTCTGAATCTATGGATTCTGTGCCAAAATACTCTCAAGGTATGAAACTGAGAGTAGGAATTAGAATTTCATATGTCAAGAGTGTTACAGTATCACCATATAATTGACTACAAACCAAAGTACTTTTTAGTACTTATACAGTATAAAAGTATATGGAGAAAAGTAATTTCAGTTTTAAAATATTTTTCCTGTATAAAAACAATACAAGTAGCAATGAATATTGCTAGATTAAGTGTATGCAATTGAGGTTTAGCTGCTTTTCTTCTGAGGGTAAAACACTGCCTTAGAGTAGATGGGCTTACAAGCACTGGTGAAGACATCATTGCCTGGTAGTATATTAGAAAGTAATAGGTATTCCAGCATTTCAAATTCCCTAGAAGTTCGTTTGGTGCCCCAGGTAGGAATGTTCAAAAGAAGATGAGGCTTAGTCTAGCATATTTTTGTTTATGCATCTCAGTTTACTCGCAGAGGAGTACAGCGAGTAAAAATGGTGTTGGTCAATGAGATTACTTAAGTGCTTGCATGTGTACAAAGAGCATCTCTATGGGTACTTAGTTTTGCTGTAGGTTTTTCCTTTTATTGAGCAAACTGGCTGTACAAAAACATTGTGAGTGGTGGATTAATTTTGTTGAGCTGGATTAGCTTGTCAATGCTGGTGAAAAGTGCTAGGATGATGCTTTTTAGAATAGTTGGGCTCCTAGATTTCTGTTCCAAATTAACAAAATATCCTGTTGTGGCATTTCTTCATTCTGCAGAACCAGCTTCCCAGTGTGCCCAGTATATTCTGCTACTTATGAGGAACAATTGCTACTTAAACTTTCGTGGTTTTGAAAAAGTGTTTTGTTTAATTGATAAGATCAAGTATTACATTTGGGCATTGCTTGAATAATTATTTGCATCACTGTAGTGGTCAAAACACATTTGCCTCTTTCAGTAGTTCCCATATTAATGACAATTCTAAATGGGTTTTAGGAAATAAACTGGTCAGAGATAGTGAAGGACTGTTACAGAGCATTCTTTGGCAATTGAATATTCACTTTTTCTATAAATTTGTTCTGTTGCCTTGTTTCAAGAGAAGTTAGGCTACATTATGTATTGCCAGAGATCAGCAGCCAGCAATAGAAGGCTAATAATAGAAAAATTTTGAATGTTCAGCATTAGTAGCCCTTAGATTGAAAGGTGTTGCCTCACACAGGTAGTTTTCTCAAGATGAAGGGAATCTTGGCTCTTAGGTTTAGTTGAACTGCTAATAGAGTGGAACTTGAGTGCCTGTCTGTCTCTGATGAAAAAATATTCACTAATAAGATTAGTAGTGAAACCTCCCAGATGCCATTGAGATTATACTGACATTCTTCTGATTTGGAAAGCAGTTGTAGGGAAAAAAACATACAGAAAAAACTGAGTTGCCAAGACACAGGTATTTTAGTTTGCACTGAGTGGGGCAGAAAAAAACCCCAAACAAAATGCTCAACAATAAAACAGATAAAAGTATCATTCAAGCTAACTACTGCAAGATTTTCACTTCTGTGAAATGTACTTATTTATAAATAATGCATAATAGCAATGTAATGCCATTAATATGATCAAGAGTCATCACTGTCTGTCTCTTCCTCTTTCCCTGGATGTTTTTGATAAGACTTCCCCAGACTGCATCTAAACTCTTCCCCAATTCAAGCATGCACTCCAGTTATAAGCAGATTGCTTAATTTGATAAACCTGAGAGTGTGGCACAGTGCCCCATGCACTGTAGCTGTTACTGGAAGAAAATTCAGGTACACAGATAAGAACAAAGCAATGATGTGCTCTGACTTGATTTTGCCTGGACAGTCAAGGGATCATAACTATGAACAGCTCGATGAGTTAGACACAGCTGCAGAGTCAACTTCTTCATGGATCTTAGGAAAACCCAACTGACAAAGTCACTTAAAGATTGATGGAAAATATATCTGCTCTTTAATTGGAAGTGTGCTATGGCTTTCTGTCCATGAGACTAATATACATTCACCTGTAGTATAAGGTGGGTTTTTTGGAGGACAAAATTTTTGTCCAAAATTTTAGAGTGATGTAATCCTGCCAATGCACAACTATGTCTTTTAAAAAGTATTAGTGAACCATAAATTCAGAAAACCATTATGAAGTGATCATGTGGAAGTAAATTTGCCTAAAACATTAGGTGATTTTATTTTTAATATTTGTGCAATTTATCTAGGTAGTAGTACTTTATAATCTACCAACTTTGCTATGCCTCCCACCATGCTATTTAAGTAGGTGAAGGGAACAAAATATGAGAAATATGTGCTTTTTTAAAAAATGTATCTGTAGAAAATGACCACACTAAAACTAATGCCAAATGAACTAAGGTGATAAATTGATATAAAAAACCTTTTTTCCTAACCTTGGACTATGTCTGAAAATAGTCCACAGCATTCAGAAAGTGTGATTTCTAAACATGTACCTTAATAATTCTAACCTGTTTAAAAACTAGAACCATCTAGGCATTTGTCAAAGTGGACTGTATGCAGTGTTTTAGGTTTGTCCTCTGTGCAGTGTTTTCACAGTAGTAACTTAATGTGATTGTACAGCTGTTTGTAATGCTGTATTGTGTGTTTTCTGTAGGAAAAAAGCTCAACTGAAGAAGAAAAGGGGTGTCCCAACGATTAATGAGCAGATGCTATTTCATGGCACCAGTAATGAATTTGTTGAAGCAATATGTATTCATAACTTTGACTGGAGAATAAATGGGATGCATGCTGCTGTATATGGAAAAGGTAAGTATAGTTGTCATATACAACAGTTTGGTAATCCTAACAGTTCTACATTGATAAGTGTTCCTTACAGATTATACTTGGTGATGCACACCCTCTGTTTGTCTAAGAGCTGTTTAATACAGCTCTGCTTTCACATCAAGTGTAATTAAGAAAGTTAATTACATGTAATCACAACTGGTTGGTAGGACCAGGGAGCATGGGGAAGGGATGCCCAGCAAAGCAGTGGTGATCACAAGACAATCTCCTACTGAAATGTTCACACTAAAAATATTTGGTCATGTTACTATAATTCAACAAATAAAAGAAAAAAAGGATTGCTAATGAAGATAAAAGAACAGACATTTTTCATCATCCTGGTACCTATATCCATGCTCTAGTGGTTAAGCTGTCATGGTAAGAATGTGATCAGATTTCTTTTTTTTATTTGAAAGGGACCTACTTCGCCAGAGATGCATCATATTCCAGCCATTTCTGCAAAGAGAGCATGAAGCACGGAGATACTTTCCAGATTCATGGCGTGAATCTGCAGCCTCATCTGCATAGACCAGATAAAGTCATGTTTCTTGCTCGTGTATTAACTGGTGACTATATTGGTGGGGATTCAAAATACATAAGACCTCCTTCAAAAGATGGAAGTTTTGTGAACTTGTATGACAGCTGTGTGGATAACACCTGGAACCCAAAGATCTTTGTCATCTTCGATGCCAACCAAATCTACCCTGAGTACTTAATAGAATTTTGTTAAGTTTGAACTGAGTATTGTTTGTGTCTTTTTGATACTTTTGTTTCTTTCATAAAGACAACAACATGAAAACATGAAGCATTAAAGGAGAGAGGTGAAAGAAAAGGTGGGATACATTTATGGAGGAGGCAAGCTATTAAGTACATAAGAGAGATTGGTGAACTTTTTTTAAAAATATGTAAACTTTATTCGTGCATTTTTCAAATGTAGAGACTCTTAGAAATTTGAGATTGCTTAGTGATCCCTAAATACATTGGTTGTTGGGAAGTTTTCAAAGGCAAGATTTTACATTCTGATTTTTTAAAAATATGTTAAAATTATTAATGTGGTAGAAATATGCCTCTAATATAGTATGCATATGATGAAACTAATCTTTTATAAAGATTGTCTATAAAACATAAAGTAACAACAGCAAAACCCCAGGGGACTTGACTACATATGTGTGTTTGTCTGTGTTCTGTATACACGTTGCTTTGTGTTTGGAGGTCTCTTAGTTTGTATTCTAAACGTATTAAAAAAATAAATTTATAGTACATCCATCAGTTTTCTCCAGATAAAGTTCAACAAAGATGTTAGGTTTAACTTTAGGTACATTTTACTGTAAGCTTCAATTATATACTTGCAAAATTACGAACTTTGATTTTGACAGAATGGAGGCCAGTAAATTCTTGTGGTTGTTAATTGTTTTGTATGCAACTGCTGAGCTCACTGTTGGGATACCAGCAGTGCCATACACCTTTCTGAGTTCTTATTCTATGGAATTTTTTCCATCTTGTTACAGTATTTATGTGCTGCTGTGGTTCCTGTCTGGTTGGAGTTTAAGAAGCATTCAGTGCTCATGTACTTACTGTTACTGAAGACAATGTTTAGATTAACTTTACTGGAAATAATACAGTTAAACTAACAATGAAAATTTCAAAAGATGTCATCCTTTAAACACTTTAATAGAAAGCTTTCCATAACAGTTGTGTTGGCCAGGTTTTCATAGCTGGTATAGTTAAAGAGTATTTTTCACATGTAGAAAGAGCCAAAGAGACAATATTTGGGTAAAAAACAAACTTGAGTACCTAAAAGCATGAAGAACCCGAAGAAGGGGCTGTTGCATTGAAATGCACTTACCTGTTAAACGATTTGCTATGAAATTGTGTCCCTTGTGTTCTTTGTTAAAGGACCTTACTAGCACTAATGAACAAAGCTGAAGCCTTTTGAGGCTTTTTCTTTTGCGATGACCAGTAACAATTCCCTGTAGAAATAGTATGTATTTGTGGCAGATACAGAATGATCTGTATTGGTCTATTATAGAATTGTTAATTGACATATTGGATCGAAGGCTCCGTTTAAAATCTATTGTATTTAAAAGGCACTGCAACTTCTGGGATGACCACGTCTGCTCAAAGTCATATTAAACCGATGGAACTGGAAGCAGAATATGACTACATATCTGGCATCATAATTGATGACACAAATATCTCCTTAGTGCTGTTACTGATGCCTGTCAGTAGATCTTACACAAGTTTTGTGTCTGTTTGTATCTGTAATTTCATGGCAAGTTTTCCTTTTGCTTCTGTCCCTAAACCATTTAGGGCTAAAATGCATTTTCCTTTATTTTAGGAAGTATGATTTCTGATCCCAGTTGGGAACTCTAGGTTCTACTGTTGTAGGTATGACTTGTGTTTGATTCACTACTACACTAGCTGTGCAAAAGGCACTTTGTTCCCCACACTGTATAAAATAATAGCAGATCACACAGGGAATTTGTGAATTACTGAGTCCTTTGTATTCTGATACAGTATTCTACAGAGCATACATTTTGTGAAACTAAAAAATAACATGTGCTGTTGTTCCTTTGATTTGGTCTTTTTTTCTTCTGAGATCTGAACTGACCTTTTTAGTTAAGAAAACTGAAGTTTCTTTTTTAGCATCTCATGGACACAAAATACCATAATCTATACTGATCTTAGAGACTTTTCCAATTGTTTGTATGGTGGTGTCTTGTTTGCTACTTAATTCAAATTGAATGGTAGAATCTTAATCTTACCAAATCACTGCACAATTGAAGTTTTAGCTCTTCTTTCAGTGTAGTGTTGTGCTTTTTGGTGTCTATTTTTGTGCTGCTGAATTATGTTATCGAAGCTGTTTGTAAAGTAACCATCCTTTTTCTGGCAAGGGGAGATAGATTATTATTGCAAAGTCCAGAACTGTATAAGTAGCCAGTACAGGAGATAGTTGGACTTAATGAAAGAATCAGTGAGAGAGGAAGGGAGGAAAATAATTTCTTGGCCTATGGAGTATTGAAAAAACAAAAAGGGATTTTGTTCTGATTCTGGGGAAGGATACCTGCTATTTTCTGTTACTATTTCATGTAGTGAAACTTTATGCTCCATTTTGTTTTTAATACCTGTGCAAGAGAGCATGTCATTCTCTTATGTGTCTTGATCCAAGGTAAAGCTTTCTTACTGAATTATTCTTATGGCAGAAGGTTTTCACCTGAGCACAGCACTTAAGTATGACATGGAAATGATATCAGCTCATACTGGCCTTCTGGGCCTGCTTTGCTTTTTAGGATGGGTGTGTACTCAGTTATTGATGAACAGAGTAGTTTGGGACAGTCTGCATTCCAGTTCATTTACAGGGCCTGTTTGTACAAACTCTAGTTTTTAATTTAGAATCTGAAGAAACAAAAGTATACAGCTATATTTTTAATAGATGTTCCAGTACACTCCCATCCAAGCTAGATGTGAGGTACATAATTTACTGGCTAGAGTTGGTGACTTAAATTCCAGGAGTACATTGAATGCCAGTTCAGGTGGTTTAAGGACAACGTGCATCCTTTTTAAACCATTATCAGCACACAAGATCATAGCAGGAAGGCTCAAGTGAGTTTGTGCAGTCCACATAGTGGAAATTACTTTCAGGAAGATGAATATGTCAGTCTTAAAATTCCTTTGACCTAAATGTCCATCAGTATTGTTACTATTATTATTTTTAGGCACTGTCTAAAACAGCAGGCTCGCAGAACAGCACAGGTCTGTTCCAGTATAGCCATCTATTCTTCACAGGTCACCAAAAACCTGTGGGGGCTGACAGATGAAATAATTTGTAATACATTTGCTTCTCCCATGCTTCTCTTGCTTTTCTCTGTGCCACAACCCCCCAGAATTAGTGGGGGTGTTTAGAGGCATAATCTTTGAGCAGGCAAAATAAGAATGTGATTGCTTGGCTGGTTTTGGTTTTTTTGTTTGCTTTTTTTTAAACTGAGACAGATGCACTCATTGACATGATTTTTTCATAGAAAAGCCTACATCAGCAAGCCATGCTGAAGGTCAAATATGGGTGTTTTTGCAAAATACATATATTTCATAGCAAATGGACTAGGGGACCCTGGCCCAGATGCTTGGCCTCCCAAAGTCGCTGGTTAGTCCAGCTTAAAGTTTGCTGGTGAATATGCAAACACCCCACCCAGGGACACCAGAACTGGGGTAGACACAGACTCCCCCCACAGCTGGCACCAGGCACACAGTGACCCATGGTCCTGCTCCAGCGGTGCTGAGCTCCTTGCTTGTCTCACTCATGCTGTGTCCCTGACAGCTGGTTTTGGGAACAGATGCTGTTCCTACCCCAGTGGCTGGGGAAGTTCAAGACCCCTGCTGGCTCCAGTAGCTGACACGGGGACTCCACTCACTCTGGTCACTGGCATCACTGGTCTCACCCCAGGAGCTGGCACTAAATTCCCCTCATGCACACAGTGGCTCAACAAGTAGCTGGCACTGAGTGCTTGCAGCATGTTTCACAGGGGACAGAGAGATTTTTAAGATTTCATAAGAAGATAGAAGAAGAAAGACCAGACTGCATTGGGCAGGCATGGGGCTTGGCCAGACAAGTGTATTGGCCAACCCACTGGCCCCTCTTACACCTCTTTCTGCCTACCCTCTTTGTTCTCCTTGGCTCCCCCTTCCCCTCTGCATCCCCCACCCCATGCGTGTGTACAGCTCCATCAATTCCTCCACCCCTCGCAGTCTGATCCCCTGATATCAGTTCCAAAGTCCAGGCTGATCTTCCTGGAAGTGGCACCTGTGGTTTCTTGATAATCCGTCAGTTAGTGTGAATGGTGAGGTTAGTTTTTTTCGTTGTTTCTGTGTTTGTTTTGACAAGTCTGTGTCTCAGTGTATTTTGTTTCTGCTTTCCCCCTTCTTCCCTTAGTTTTCTCACTGCCAGGTCCCCAGTCAGATAACCTTGCTGGAACAAACTTCATGCTCTCACGTGCCCTTATCAACTGATGTGACTGACCAGGTTTGATTCTCATCACGGCCTCCCTTATGACATCAGTCAGGTTTTTATCCCCTTTCTTGTTCATGTTTCCTCCTTTTCTTATTATCCCTGTTGCATTGGAAAAGGTCCTTGAGTAGATTCCCTTAAAGGAGTAGACACTCTCCTTCCACATACTCCTACAGATAACTGCACCATATATGTCCTGCAATTCCGGTCCCACGTTTGTCCTAACCTGGGGACTTAGTTGAAGAGGTCACATTTCATTCCTATGGTAATGAATGCACTTAGGATTGTTTGCACAGTTTTCATCCTGATTCCTGGACCAGAGACAGCCAAAGGGAACATAAAGACTGGAAGCTTGCAAGTTCTTTGGAGTGGATTTTTTAATTTTTAAGGGCCCACTTGGATGTACAGAAATAGGAGAGTATTTGCAATAAGCAAGAGAAAAATTGCAGTGTAATGAAGAGATGGTGTAAGTATGGGGAAAGGATAAAGAAAATAAATTCTACCCATTATGACAGTATCAGTTCCATGGAATACCATAAAATGAGTTTCTCTTCCTTGTGTGCTTTGAGCTGTTAAGGGTTTGATACTGCTATCATGTTAAGGGTGGCAAAGCAGCTGGTCCTGGATGTTTGCACACTTATTTGCAGACATTTGAAGATTAATTTACTGCTACTACTTTTAGATTCTTTTGCAAAAGGGGTTGCAACTCCACTGCTAGAAACGAGTCTGAAGCTATGCTCTTCTCAGCTATTGACTTTAACTAGAAATGCCATTAATGTCTGTATTTATATTTTGTATGCCTATTGCCTTAGAATGTATTTTATGGTTTTTGTTTCTTTGTTTGTTTTGGGGTGGGTTTTTGTTTTATTTTTTGTTTGTTTGGGTTTTTTGTTTTTGTTGGGTTGGTTGGTTGGGGTTTTTTTTGTTTGTTGGTTGGTTTTTTTGGTTTGTTTTTTTTTTGTTTGTTTGTTTCTTTGTTTCAGTATTTTCCTTCCTAGAAAAGGAAGAGGGATAAAAGATGAACAAGAAAGGATAAATGTATTAGCATTTGGGGAAGCTGCTTAGTCCATGTGCTGAGAGTGCCCTTATCAGGAAGGCAGGTAGGGGAATGACATTATATTTCCTATCTGAAGCCAAGAGCAGTTAGATCCATTTCCTGTTTCAGTCTTCCAGCCAATAAATGCCAAATTTAAGTTAAAGGGAATGAAATCATACTGATACCAAAAGGAACAACCTTAAATATTTCTTCTCTTTACTCAGGTTCTCAACTGATATGGTTTTCTCCCCTTTCACTAATAAATCAATGTAATATATAAACTAATACAGGTGGTATCTGACTCATGTCCTAGTTTCATGAACAATATAAGGCAACATAAGGCTTTAGCCTGCTCACGTCCCTCTTTCTGTTCCCATGCTTTGCTTGCATTCAAGTTGTCATAAAGTGAAACAGATGAAAGATCTAGATTGTTGTTAAAAAATAATTTGGAGTGGGAATATACTAATGCAGTTTACTGTAATAAGTGATGTGTTTGGTTACAGACCTGGTGGTGATCAAGTAGCTAGTATATGTAATTTTTTTTCTAGTCATTATCTACCTTTGAGCTGGTGAAAGTTGTCCAAGAAAGTAATCCCAACTGAGAACAGTGGCTGCAAATTAGGCTTTCAAAGGATGATTGGATATTGGATACACTGTGTTATTATCTATGTATTAACTAGGGGGATTACTTTTAAAAGACTTGTTTCTATAAAAGGACTGGCTGACACAAATACTTTCATCACAGATTTTGTTTTAACACAGCTCTTGAGAATACTGTGTCCCTGACAAAGCTGTATCAGCTAGTAACTGGATGTGT